TAGGACCCAAACAACCAAAGCATTTCCCACAAGGCCGGTCATGAACAGTAGGGAATACAGCACTGGAAAAAAGTTAGATGTAAATGCTGGAATATTTTCAAGATCACAGCTGATGTCCAGTTCCGGGTAGAAGAAGGCATATTCATAGGCCGCAGAGGAGTTAGATGTTGGTGATGTGTAACCCACCTGTTCAAGGACAATGAAGTTCCTGAGACCCAAATCCCAGATTACTCTCTCAGTAAACATACTAGGCACACGTCAGCTCACACCAAGCCGCATGAGGACAAACCAGCTGTGCCTCAGGTGGGAGTGACCAGTCCTCCCCTGCAAGATCCAGAATGAGGTTCTTGCACCAGAGTGGCAGAGGAGATCAAGGAAAATGCAGCTGTGGTGGTAAACAAGAGGTTACCAGTATCCCCCCACCAGCTGCACGTGAGGTGCCCAGCCCTATGCCTGCAGTCCATGTGGGGCATTGGGGCCAAAGACAGGGAGCATCCCCAAACCAGCAACCAAATGGGCATGGCCAGGGGGCTGAGAGCCCCTGACGTAGGTTTCAGGGTCCTATTGCTCGTTTCCTTCAGAAAGGAGAAAGAGAGCAGGGCTCAGGGAGGAATTGACATGTAAACACTCATCTCCTAAAAGCTGCACTTCCAGTTAGCTGAGTGCCAGAAACAGCCCTTCATGGGACAACTTACTTTCGCAGAGGATTCCTGCACAGTTCAAGCAGGTTTTCAGCTGTAAAGGCACCAGCACATATAGATCACCAGTGAGTGCTGCACGCTGCATGCTTTCCACCCCAGGTAAGATCAGTGGTGGCAGCTCTGGCCCAAGGGGTGACTTCCCAAAGAGCAGACAGGGCTTTCTGCCCCTTCCTCCCTCCTCCCCAGCAGGAGCTTTGCCCTCTCGGCCAGTGACAGCACAAACTGCTGCTGCCAGCAGCTCATGCCCACCAAGACTTTGCCAACAGGAATAGCTGGTTTTCCTTTCAAAGCCAGTGGCTCTTCTCTCCTGGCACCTGTCAGGATGCACCAGCAGCAGCGATGTGTCCCTTGCTGTCTCCCCAGCCCCTCACAGCCCCCCAGCAGCAACCACTGCATCCCCAGGCAGCACCTGTGACAGCAAACAGCTAAAGGAGATGGGTGGCAGCACATCTCCCGGTCAGGATGGCCTCCACAGGACACCCCTAACACTACCTCTGCCCCTGAGACAGCCTCCTTCCATAAGCACAGTCTCAGCAGCCAAAGGTATTTTCACTCTTTTTTTTTTTTCCCAGAAAACAACAATCACACTAATTTCTTCTAAATCCCCATCATCCTACCAGTACTATGTGCCCTCATAGGCAAAATTGGACCCCTCAGATAGGCTACTCGCCTCGGCTTGCAGGGCAGCAGCCTGGCGGGGAGTGACTCACCAACACATCCTCAGAGTCGCCTCTGCCTGGCAGGTATGTCATGTTCCCCTCCATAATCCAACACTGTGTCTGAAAGAGTGCCAAAATATTGTGTTTATATCACAGCTTTTAAGAAGCAGACATACCTTTGCACACATATGCTGCCAGTATTTACCTTAGCTTACGTTGCAGTGCCAAGTCACAGGCAAGGTCCTCACCGTAGCAGTGCACAGTAATAAAATGCCTTTTCTTCTGTGTGGTGTGTGTTACATTGAAGATGTATAAAACCCCAAGCTAATGAGTTCAGCTTCTGCACCTGACACTTAACGGAAACATGTCAGGTTTATCTTCTGACCAATCAGTATGTTTTTTTCACTTTGAGCATTCACATGAACGTCAATGGAAGAGATTCACAATTTCCCTGACACATCTGTGAAGTGCCCCTGTCCCTCACCTGGGTGCCCCCGTCCCACCTGCTGCCCCCAGTCTGCAGTCCCTGTGGCTGGGAGAGAGGAAGCAGCGCTGCCTCTCCTCTGCTCCAGGCATTTTTGGTGAAGGTGTCTGTGGGGGATGGCCCAATGCTGCCAATAGCCAGTGACAGCAAAGGGCACCATGTTTGCTTTAACTTTTTCCTTGCAATGCACCTGCCCCATGCGAAGGGAAAATGTGAGTAATGGCATGAGAAAAGCACAACCTTTTTTTTCTGGACAGAGCCTCAGCAGAAAGTTTCCTACAGGCAGTGCAGAGCCAAACCCTCCTGCTTACAGCAGGGTGCTGGTCTGCAGCATGGTGGTACACGTCCCCCTGGGGATCCTTTCGGCTTGGGTCAAGAGTTGGAAAATGTCTTTCTTAATTCGTAAACCACAAATTTGGCACATTCAGCACCAAGAGGTGCTCAGCCGCAGCAGTGCAGAGAGAGGGGTGGTGCTGGGTGCAAACACACCCATCAGCTTCAGCTCTGCCGCTCAGGGCTCACCAGCAGCACCTTTACCACAGTGAAGTCAAGGCCATTTGCTAATCTGTCCAATCTTGCTCGTGCGCTCTGGTGTGCCCATACCATTGTGCACCACGAGCCATGTCCATGCCTCTGTCCCATGTGAGTGTGTGCATCCAGTGTGCCAGGGTCTCCCTGTTTGTAACTGGGGTGAAGCTGATCCCCAGTGCTGGGCAGCCACGGTGACCTGCAGATCCCTGTAAAGCTCTGTAGGATCCTCCTGTGGAAGATGTCCTCACAGACAGGTTTTCTGGCAGGAGCTGTGATCCTGCAGGGGACTCACATTGGAGCAGTCCATTCCTGACAGACTGCACCTCATGGAAAGGACCCACACTGGAGCAGTTCATGAAGAACTGCAGCCTGTGGGAAGGACCTGTGTTGGAGAAGTTTGTGAAGGACTGCAACCCATGGGTGAGACCCCACACTGGAGCAAGAGAAGAGTGTGAGGAGGAAGTGTTAACAACTGACCACATCCCCCATTCTCCATTCCCCTGCGTCACTTGGGGGGTAGGAGGTAAAAGAGTCAGGAGTGAAGTTTAGCCTAGGAAGAAAGGAGGAGTGTGGGGGAGGTGTTTTTAAGATTCGTTCTTATTTTTCATTCTCCTAGTCTGTTTAATTGGCAATAAATTAACTTAATTTCCCCAAGTTGAGTCTGTTTTGCCCATGACAGTAACTGCTGAGTGTTCTCCCTGTCCTTCTCTTGATCCACAAATCCTTTGTCATATCTCCTCCTTCCCTGTCCTTTGAAGGAGGGAGAGAGATAGAGCGGCTTGGTGAGCACCTGGCAGCCAGCCAAGGTCAACCCACTGCAGTCTTTTGTGGTGCCCAATGTGGGGCATGAGGAATTCGAGATAAGGCTAGTAATTGGGAAACATAACAGGCAAAACATGGACTGAACATTGCTAGAGAGCGGAAAGCGTAATAACTGTGGGGAATTTTTGTTGTTGTAACTGTGATGAAGGGATGAGCATGGAGTGTGTGTAAATTGTCCACTGTTGTCGGTGTTGCGATGATGTTATTTTGACTTTGGTGTGGGGAATTCTTTTGTTGATGTAAGTGAAGTTTGTGAAGATGGTAGATTGTGTGATGAATGTGTATTTTAATGATAGTTCTTACATACATGATTTACAGAGGTGAAGATTGGAATGTATTTGGTTTACATGGCAAGGTTTTCATAGCAGGATGGTTGCAGGAGCCGCTTCTGTGAGAAGATGCCAGAAGCTGCCCCCATGTTGGAAGCAGCCAGCTCCAGCCAGCTCCAAGATGTTCCCATCACTGGCCAAAGCTGAGCCCATCAGTGACATTGGTAGCACCTCTGTGATAACATATTTAAGACAGGGTAAAAAATGCTGTGCAACTGCAGCTGGAGAAAGGAGTGAGGATTTGTGAGAGAAACAACTCTGCAGAGACGGAGGTCAGTGAAGAGGGAGATGCTCCAGGAGCCAGAGCAGAGATTCCCCTATGGCCTGTGGTGAAGACCATGGTGATGCAGGTTGTCCCCTGCGGAGGTCCACAGTGGAGCA